TAGGTTAAAACAAGAGCCAGTAAAAATTAGAAGAAAGAAGTGAAAGACCAAAGTCTCTATATGAAAACCCCAAAATCTAAATATCAGTTCTTTAGTGGATAACATTTTTAAAATGTCAAAAAAATGTTTTCAGAGTCTTGAGTCTCTTAGCGATGATGAGGGGGATTCATTGAAATTTTTGATATATGGATTCCACGGCATTCCTTTTTATATATAGTAAAGACTAATGAAGGATATGTCTTTTAACAACAAGCAATTTGACCAAAATGCAAAGTTTTATTTTATTTTCAAAAGAAAGTTTGTTTTTGTTACTTTTCTGTTATTATGAGTCCATAACCGGAATTAATGGGTTTTGTTGGCTTTCAGTTACATTCCGGTTTTTAAATTGGTTTATTTTGGGTTACTCGAATTGGTCAACTTCTTCCACGCAAGGCTACCACGTGCAAATCACACTCCGAGTTCAATCTATCTCAATCCTACGTGGCGATATTGAGAATCAAGATGGCACGTGTCAGTACAGTAGTGGTTGAAACCATATCCTAGTTATCTAAAATACAAGATGAATCAGATAAGGCCTTCCTTGTCACATAACCAAAACCACCAGATATTATTATAACTCAAAACAAGTCTCTTCTAACAATTATTTTCAAAGCATCAACAAAAAAATGGCTCAAGCAGTGACTTCGATGGCTGGTTTACGTGGTGCATCTCAGGCCGTTCTTGAAGGAAGTTTCCAGACCAATGGCTCAAACCGTTTGAACATCTCCAGAGTCCGGTCTCAGAGGAACGGGCTTGTGATCAGGGCTCAGCAGAACGAGTCAGTGCAAGAAAGTAGTCGTCGGTCTGTGCTTGGACTCGTGGCGGCTGGTTTAGTCGGTGGTTCGTTCGTTAAGTCTGCCTTCGCCACCGAAGCTCTTGCTATTAAAGTTGGTCCTCCTCCACCACTTTCGGGTGGTCTACGTAAGTAAAACTCTAATTGAATCATGTTTCATAGTTAAACCAAATAAATGTCCGGTTCAATCGGCGATTTTGATTTAAATTGATTTGGTTTCCTGGTCTCATTCCCTTAATTGTGTAACAAAACTAAAGGATAGATCTGTTCTGCATCGTTTCGTTTTTGGTTTTATCAAACGCAACTTTGATTTTTAAGTAAAGCCATAATCGAATCAAATTTCACATTATTGACTAAAATAATAATTAGTAATCCTAATATTTTTTTCTTTGGTTTACCCAAATAAATGCTGGTTTTGGGTTTATAAAAAGAGAATCAAACCATTTAAACCAAATAAAAGTCCGGTTCAATAGGCGGTTTAGTTATTAAACGATTTGGTTTCTTCGTCAAGAACACCCTTCGTTGTAAAAAAAAAAAACAAAAAATACATAGCGGTATACTGTAGATCTATTTTGCATGGTTTCGGTTTACTTCGGTTTTGGTGTCTATCAAAATGTATGTTTGATTTTTAATTAATAAGGATCTAAGTTTTGGTTCGTTTTACTATATTTCGGTTTGATTCAAATGCAATTTCGGTTCTTTAATTGATTGTGTCTGTTGTGTGTGAGCAGCTGGAACTGACAACTCAGACCAAGCAAGAGACTTCTCACTGAAACTGAAAGACAGGTTTTACTTACAGCCATTGTCACCAACAGAAGCTGCAGCTAGGGCCAAAGAATCTGCTAAAGAGATCATCAACGTTAAGTCTTTGATCGACAAAAAAGCTTGGCCTTACGTTCAGAACGATCTCCGTTTAAGAGCATCGTACCTCCGTTACGATCTTAACACCGTTATCTCCGCCAAGCCTAAGGAAGAGAAACAGAGCCTCAAAGAACTCACCGGAAAGCTCTTCCAAACCATCGACAACGTAAGCTAGTTTTTTAGGGTTTTGTTTCTTGGTTGAAAAGTAAGAGTTTATTTGTTATGTTTGGATTGATCTGAGATTGCTGTTTTCGTGATTTGTGTGTGTTTGAAGCTGGACTATGCGGCGAGGTCAAAGAGCAGCCCGGATGCAGAGAAGTATTACTCAGAGACTGTCTCGAGTTTGAACAATGTTCTTGCCAAGATTGGTTAAGGGAGAAGGATTTGCTATGTAATGTGTTGTTGTTGATGTTATTATCATTATGCAAGTACTATTATTGTCTTTCTCCTCCTCTTTCTTTCTGATCAATTCGGATGGTCTAATTTCAGCTTCAAGTTTTAGCCAAGTAAACATAGAATAAATTCTTGGTCTGTTTTGTTTTACAAATTGAACTAGAACAATTGAATTTCCAACGAAAAATAATAAGGAAGAATATAATTTGAAATACTATATGGTCAAGGTAATGAATATAAATAAATGTGATTAGGTCAAATGGTTGACACTTAAGCCATTAAGCAAGCTTTTGTATATATAACTTGTTTTAGTCGTTCACTTTTTTCTTCCCACTCCACGAAATATTCTCAACTGAAATCAGATTTTAATTAAAAAATGTTTTCCAAGCAATTTTTTTGGATATGGCGACGAGGAGATTAGACCATGGTCGTGTCGTATTATACACATACATAAAACTATATTGATATAGTATGAGATTAGACAACTTAACCAAATACGTCAATTAACTAATAGTGGAGTATGGTTAAGGAGTCAAATCAGATGACATGAGCATACATATTAATTTATTCAAGAAGATTTGGGAACATTTCCAAAGTAAAAATGCAGACAATCCCTAAATCCCAAGAGAATTCGATTGGGTGGTGACTTAATCCACATAAAACGTACCTTATTTATTTAGTTAATCTTATTACTTGAATGTCAACATTTGACTTACTAATATTTTTCGATTTATTTTATTTCCCCATTTGCTTCATTTGTTAACACCTGACCAAACTATTCTTGGCTGGTTTTTAAAATTTGGAAATTCTTTTTTCTTTTCGCACAAAAAAGGTTTTGTCAAATTATTATTTCATGAGTATTCAATATATATATATATGTATATATGTATGGCGTGTGTTTGTGTGTGTTCAAATCGGTAACTTTCTCTACTCCATTATAATGATTTTGTGCGCATTTTTTTTATAAATTAGAACAAAACCAAATAAATCCCCATGCATGAAAAAAGCTACCTAACCAATTTTATAAGAAAGTCCAAATGTATATTTGCTTTATCCAATTCCTTTCAAATATCAGTGTTTTCAAATCCTTCCAAAAGGGTAGCTATTCATGGATTATTAAACAATAAACTTGTTCAACGTGGACTTTTGTTAAGTCTATACATTACAATAATTCTGATGTTTTTGCATAATTCTGATATTCTTTATAAGAAAGGTTTGTATTTCTGAGTATATATGTGTTATAATACGCTTAGATTTTAAATAAAACCTTTACTAGGCATATTTTACAAAAGTAGTAACTAAATTTTGTTGTTGCTATTGTAATGTAGAATTAATTACAAAAAATGTTTAGAATACCTTTTTATCATATAACTAAACGTAAACATGATATAAGAATAATCTTAACATTTTTACCAATAAAAATATACAAGAATAAGTCCAATAAGATACGTGCTTTTTCATCACCATCAATAGTTTAACATATGGTTAAGAGGTAGCTAGAGATATTAGTTGATAATGTTATATTTTCTTTAAATTATAGTTTGAAATGCATATTCATGCGTCATGGCTACATATATAAATACTAGATGTAACCAACATCATGTCTTATGCAACTTCTATCATTTCTAAAGTAATCAAGACCAACTATAATTAAGAACATGACGACGGGAGAGTTTGAGATCGCCGGAATTTCCACCGGAACATGGTGGAGTTCGCCAACAAACGCCGCCACCTCCGTATTCTCCGGCTACTCGCTGCCATGTCCCACTGAGACTAGCCTTGATATCACGGATTTCGGATGGCAAAACTTCGATAGTAAAACTAACGATCACAATGATGATTTTATGAACATGTAAGTCCACATGTATACGTTTTGATTTTGGTTTACGTAGTTATATTGGAGTTTCGTTGATTTTTTTTTTCTTATTGAAGGCATAACAGTTTCTTCGAAGGATTATTCGATCCTAATGAGCAATTACTCTCAGATTCTTGGCCAAAAACTACAATTACTAACGCCAAATCTGAGCTACTCGAAAGCTTCCCGTTCTTAGATAACATGTTCTTGGTCGATTCAGAAGCTCATGATCATAACTCTAAGGAGCGAATTACACAAGACTGCATGAATCTTACTTCAAAGGCACGTAACTACTAATAGAAATTCAAACCTCGTAGTTTTGTTTGAATAATATTAGAGTTGTCAATTAACAAAAAAAAAAAAACTTTGATGTGATGAATCTTTCAGAGGAGTGAAAGGACTGAAGAATTAAAAGAGAACAGCGATGAATATTCGCCTCGATTATTAAAAAGGTCAAGAATCGATACATTATCTTCATTGCCAAGCTTCAAAGTTCGTAAAGAAAAACTTGGTGATCGAATCACTGCGCTGCAGCAACTGGTTTCACCATTTGGCAAGGTAATAAAAAAAAAAAAAAAAATATATATATATATATATATATATATATTTGTTTTTCATGCGGTTTTGATTTATTATTCCTTTTAAACTCAAAAGATTACATATAATATATTTACAGACAGATACGGCTTCTGTTCTCAACGAAGCTGTAGAGTACATCAAGTTTCTTCAGGAACAAGTCACCGTAAGTTTTAGTTCTTGATTTTCATTTCCTACCATAGTAAAATCTATTAGTGAAGGACTTAAAGAAGTGATTAATTAATCCAATAGGTGTTGGTTAGTCCAGACCATAACACCAAAGGATCTGTTCAACGACAGCAGGTACTTTAAATTGGTTACAACTTAACAACTCTTCTTTTTGTCATTTTGCTTGTGATTTCAAGAATCTTTTCAAGAACTAATCATTACCTACTAATGATTATTGCATTGATTAATTAATAGTGTTCAGACAAGAAATCTATCAATAGTACTCAAGAACAAGAAGAATGTAGTTCAAGAAGACACGTAGACCTAGCGAGTCGTGGGCTATGTCTCATGCCCATCTCAGCTTCATATCCGGTTGCTGCAGCCGCGGCTTCTGCAGCAGAGATGAACACATCTGACTTCTGGAATCTTCCATTTGCGATGAACTTGTAAATTATACAGATGCATTAACAAAAATTAAAGCTCTATTTGAGATATATCTTGTAAATTTTAATGTTTCTTTTATACCGTGTAAATGTCCTGTAATACTCAAAGCCTATATTGTTTATTTGCATGTTATAGATGCTTTTTGTGTATACTTTTTTCAAATGAATACAAAAGCGTTAAGTACTTTAAGCAAAGTAGTTATAATTAATCGTATAAACGCCAGAACCGTTTATTTTGCGTTTCTTTTTTTTTTCACAAATAACTAATGGATATAGCTGAACATGTTTAAAATCTCAATGGAGTGGATTTCTCTCTTTTTTTTTCTCATATGCATGCAAATTACGTGAACGCATAAATTACGTTGAAAACATTGAGTTCCAATCGTTTGCGGTTGTTAGTTACTGTGCCACCTGCAAATTAATGTTGTCTGTTTAGCGCGATTCCAGTTAGAAACCCAAGAGTTATTAAAAAAAAGGTCTGGCTAATTCAAAAAAAATACTTAAACGTGTTCCGTCGTTGACACAACCGCTCCTTATTAGTAAACAAACCAGCTATTAACACAAGCAACTATGATCAGGTCCAAGCCCATACCATGTCAAGAAGTGTTGCGAGGCCCATCACTGAAGAAGACAAAAGACAAGGAGGAGTAACGGTAAAGTGCTTGGACAAAGGCAAGGAGAAAGTGTACGGAGAGGATAAGGATATGGTTGTTTTGACTTCACAGCTGCAGCTCTGCAATAGGTTCAGGCTCCTTGAGGATCAGACCAATGAGCTGTCAGCTATGACATGATACAGAGAACCTAGACACATAGCACTTTGTATAAATAAGAGATGAATCTCGTATTGTAAACCTCAAGTTATGTTATCATAATTTCAGAGAAATATTCAGTTTTGCTTGATTCTGTTATTGCCTTTATGGTATCAGAGCATCAGGGATTAAATCCTGAGGCTTAATCATGGAGGAAAACCAAGATCAAATACCGGTTACATCGCTTACTATCACACAAGTTGTGACCTTGAAGCTCAAGGAAGGAAACTACCTTTTGTGGAAGCTGCAGTTTGAGCAGTTTTTGGCGAGTCAGAGACTTCTTGGCTACATCACAGGCGCTCAGCTACGACCTCCTGAAACCGTGACTGTTCGTAATGGTGATGAAGAAGCTCCTGCTGCAAATCCAGAGTTTACCAAGTGGCTCCAAAAGGACCAACTCATCCTTGCCTGGATCTATGGTACTCTTACAGAAGATGCTCTTAAATCCGTCTATGGTCTTCATTCATCACATGAGGTATGGCTTGCCTTAGCTAAGAAGTACAATAGAGTCTCAGCAACTAGAAGGTTAGATTTACAGAGAAGGGTCCAAACAACTGTCAAGGGAACAAAAACGATGGCTGTTTACCTCTCTGAAATCAAAACATTATGTGATCAGCTTGACTCTATTGGCTCTCCTATCACTGAGCATGAGAAGATATATGGTGTACTGAATGGTCTAGGCAAAGAGTATGAATCTGTTTGTGCTGTTATTGAGCATGCTATGGACAACTTTCCAGCTCCATGCTTTGAAGACGTTGTTTACAAGCTCACTGGTTTTGAAGATAAGCTTCAATCTTATCAACAACCCACAGATGTCTCACCTCATCAAGCGTTCTATACTAACAGAGGTGGATACTCAGGACGTGGACGCGGTGGATACAGAGGAGGATACCGTGGCAGAGGCTCATACACTACACAAGGTCGTGGATTCCCACAACAGTTTGGTCAGAGTGCTCAACGTCCTCAGCAAGCTGCTGACAATCGTCCCACTTGTCAGATTTGTGGCAAATATGGCCATCCTGCCAACAAATGTTACAAACGTTTTGATATCCGATTTGCTATTGATGAGCAACAGCCACAAGCAAATGTTCTTACAAGCTCACATCACAATGGAGGAGAATGGTATCCTGACAGTGGCTCCTCTCACCACGTCACCAACACCACTCAGCATCTTGATTCAAGTCAGCAGTATGATGGTTCTGATCAGGTGATGGTTGGCAACGGAGACTACTTGCCTATTACTCATGTTGGTTCAACATCTATTCCCACCCAGACAGGTAACATTCCTCTTCTTGATGTTCTTGTTTGTCCTGGAATTACAAAATCGTTGTTATCAGTCTCCAAGCTTACAGATGATTATCCTTGTTCTGTTACATTTGACTCAACAACTGTTTGTATCATGGATAAGGAAACCAACAAGGTTCTCAGTCAGGGAAATAAAACAAAAGGACTCTATCGGCTGGATAACCCAAAGTTTCTGTCATTCTACTCCACAAGACAACAGAGTTCAAGTGATGCAGTGTGGCACAAGCGACTGGGACATCCTAATGATCAAGTCCTGCTTCATCTATCTTCAACAAATGCCATTCAAATAAACAAGACCCTGAAGTCTTTGTGTGAATCATGTCAACTTGGCAAGACATGTAAACTTCCCTTTTCTAGCTCAGATTTTCGGTCAAGTAGAGTTCTTGAGAGAATACATTCAGATGTTTGGGGTCCTGCTCCTGTTGTTTCAGCTCAGGGATTCAGATTCTATGTTGTATTCATTGACAATTATTCAAGATTCTGCTGGTTTTATCCTATGAAAGCTAAGTCTGATGTGTTTTCTATCTTCAAAGTTTTCCAACAACAAGTAGAAACACAATATGATCAGAAAATCAAAGTCTTTCAATCCGATGGTGGAGGCGAATTTGTCAACAACCAACTTGCTCAACACTTTGCAAGTTCAGGAATCAAACACATTCTCTCGTGCCCTCACACTCCTGAGCAAAATGGCTTGGCAGAAAGAAGACATAGACACATTACTGAGCTTGGTCTTTCCATGCTATTTCAGAGTCATCTGCCTCCTATGCTTTGGGTTGAGGCTTTCTTTACAGCAGCTTTCCTTGGTAATCTTCTTCCTACAACCGTTCATGATAAGATGATGAGTCCATATGAACTGCTCAACGGGAAGCCACCAGTTTATACTGCTCTACGAGTCTTTGGGTGTGCCTGCTATCCATATCTACGCCCCTATTCTCAGAATAAGTTTGATCCCAAGTCACTTCTCTGTGTTTTCTTGGGTTATAATGAAAAATATAAGGGGTATAGATGCTTCCATCCGCCAACAGGAAGAGTCTACATCAACAGACATGTGCTTTTTGATGAAGATCGATTGCCATATAAAGATACTTATCAACACCTACTCCCTCCAGCCACAACTCCTTTAAGCTCTGCTTGGCGCCTGCAATATAAGTCTGTTGCTGTTCCTGCTCAACCTGAAAATCTTGTTTCCAAAGAATCTGACGACAGTATTCCTGTTCAGAGAAAAAGTCTGGTTCAACCTGTGATGCCTCTCATTCAACAACATCAGCCTGCTGAATCCAGTGGTTCCAATCAGAATTCACAGCATTTTGATCAGGGCTCTTCTCAGGGTTCGCCGAATGTTGCTGATCAACACCAGTTTCCTCTGCAACCTGACAATCAGAATGCTCATCAAATGGTTACAAGAGCTAAAGCAGGTGTTGTGAAACCTAATCCTAAATATGCTTTACTTGCTGTTCAAGGTATTCCTGAGATTCCCAAGACAGTCAAGGAAGCTCTGAGTCATCCCGGTTGGCACAATGCTATGACTGAAGAGATAGAAAATTGTGATGAGACAAATACATGGACTCTAGTTCCTCCACCTCCTGATGTCAATCTCCTAGGCTGCAGATGGGTTCATCGAGTTAAACTCAATGCAGATGGAACATTCTCAAAGTTCAGGTCTCGTATTGTGGCTAAAGGTAATGAGCAAGAGGAAGGAGTCGACTTTTTGGAGACATACAGTCCGGTTGTGCGTACTGCTACGGTTAGGATGATCCTGCATTTTGCTGTCACTGAGAGATGGGATATCAAACAGCTCGATGTCAAAAATGCCTTTCTTCACGGCGAGCTTACTGAAACTGTATTCATGAGACAACCTCCTGGTTTTCAAGACAAAGTTCATCCTGATTATGTGTGCAAACTCAACAAAGCAATCTATGGGCTTAAGCAAGCACCAAGGGCTTGGTTTGATAAGTTCAGCTCTTTCCTGATTCAGTTTGGTTTTGTCTGTAACAGCAGTGATCCGTCTCTCTTTGTTTATCAGAGGAACCGCAGCATTATCTTCCTTCTTCTGTACGTTGATGATATGTTGGTTACAGGAAATGATCAACCTTTGATACAACAACTGCTAAAGAGTCTCAGCAAGGAGTTTAGAATGAAGGATATGGGGCCTCTAAGTTACTTTCTTGGTATTCAAGCTCAGTTCACCTCCACTGGTTTGTTCTTGAATCAACAAAAGTATGCGACTGATCTCTTACAAGCTGCTGGGATGTTAAACTGTGCTCCGATGCCTACACCCCTTCCGTTGCAACTTGACAGAGTGCCTCATCAAGAAGAGTATTTCTCCAACCCTACTTATTTTCGTAGCTTGGCTGGAAAGTTACAGTACTTAACTCTTACACGACCCGATATTCAATTTGCGGTGAACTTGGTCTGTCAAAAGATGCACAAACCAACTGTCTCTGACTTCAACTTGCTGAAACGAGTGCTCAGGTATGTTAAAGGCACACTGGAGATGGGATTGACTCTGGAATCTGACACAAACTCTTGCATAAGAGCATACTGTGACAGCGACTGGGCTGGCTGTCAAGCAACAAGAAGATACACTGGAGGATTTTGTACGTTTTTGGGTTCAAATTTGATATCTTGGTCAGCGAAGAGGCAAGATTCTGTAGCAAGGTCTTCTACGGAGGCAGAGTACAGGACACTTTCAGATACAGCTGCTGAACTTGAATGGGTCAGTTTGATGATGAAGAGTATCAACAAAGTGCAGTCTGAGCCGGCTGAAATATATTGTGATAATCTCTCTGCAGTGCACTTAACAGCTAATCCGGTTCTTCACCGAAAATCAAAGCACTTTGCAACGCATTATCATTATGCCAGAGAGAAGGTGGCTAATGGAACGCTCATCGTCAAGCATATACCTGCAACTCATCAACTTGCAGATATATTTACTAAGTCTCTGCCTCAGCACAGCTTCTATAATCTTCGTTTCAAACTCGGAGTTGACTTTCCACCCACCTCGAGTTTGCGC